TCAGTAAAAAGTTTGAGCATTGTGGATTAGATCAAATAAAGTATAATTATATTTTAATAGTTTACACACAATGACAAATACAAGCTGACTGATTTCTGCATAGAACTCTGCACATAAGTGCACCATTTCAACTCGCTACATTCCGCCTACCACATCATTGTGTGTAAACTATTAAAATATAATTATACTTTATTTGATGTCCCCCACTGTTTACTCACATGCGTAAAAATGTCTCAGAAATTGTTTCTCATTCGGATGATGTTAACGTAAGTAGAAAGTACAGGATCTCGTTGTTGACAACGTTCTGAGGGAAAATTCTACCAAAATTTAATCTTTCGTCTCAGATGACACTTTCTTCGTGTCAACTGCAGACATGTCGGGATAAAATCTGAAGGCGCATTTAAGAAAGTGAGACAGTTTTCTTCAGAGAACCCGAAGTCTGTCTCAGAGTGCCTGCAGTGCCCCAGAAATTTCTCCCGTAAATCTGCAGCGTGCCCGAAGTATTCTCAAATGTGCCCAAAGTCAGCTTTAGCTGGCTTAGAGACTCGTCTACAATAGGTATTGTTGAATATGAAATATGCATCTGTGGCATATCTTAGTGATAGTTCCTTGAGGATAATTAATGGGATTCAGAAATCAACCTACTTATCCAATGTACGCTGGCACTCACATTCTACTATGGCTAGTAGTAATACATTGGTGAACTCTGGTTATATCGTACATTTCCCATTCACATTAACGTCTGTTATTTGCAATGTGCTTTTATGAAATTTTAAGGGTTCGAAATAGCCACCTTGTACATCTATGGTAGGTAGGATTAGGCGGACTTAAAGCTAAATAAAGCGATAATCCTGGTACATGCACCTTAAACACACCACTCACTTATGGTGTGTCACTTCCAATAGGTCTAATAGAGCTGTTCACAGACTTGGAGATAATCTCTTTTCGTCTCCGCAATCTCTGGCATAGACGTGTTGTCTGTCCGTCGACCAAAGGATGTGTGTACTGCTCAGCAGTTCGCTCTGTCCTCCTCTATGGCTGTGGGTGAGACATAGCCATTGAAAGTGGAAGACATGAAAAGGACAGTCGTCTTTGATCATGGGTGTCTGAGTTCTATCTCCCGTGTGAAGTGGTATAATAGGGTGAGCAATATTGAGATTAGGCGTGGAGTGCTAGGTAGGTGGGAGGGGACATCAACAGACGAGACTGTGAAGTTACATCGATTGAGATGTTGGTGTAACTTCACAGCTTCGTTTATTGATTTCCCCCTCCACCTACCTAACACTCGACGCCTAACCTTAATATTACTCACCTTATTACACCACAACACGGGGGATAGAACTCAGACACCTATGATCAAAGACGACTGTCCTTTTCATGTCTTGCACTTTCAATGGCTATGTCTCACCCACAGCCATAGAGGAGGACAGAGCGGACTGCTGAGCAGTACACACGTCCTTTGGTTGACAGCCAGCCGTATATCAAACTTCGTTAAATACAAGCTGACTGATTTCTGCATAGAACTCTGCACATAAGTGCACCATTTCAACTTGCTACATTCCGCCTACCACATAAAGACCCGGCCGATAACTGCTACCTTGCCGTGGTGGTCGGGCTTGAATACCGTAATGACCCAACATGCTAAACTGACTGGAACTCTGTCCCTGCAGGTCCTACCATGTCAGGAAGATTGTTTGGATAGCGGTTAAACTAAAAGCAGTCACCATGGGGTACATGGGCTCCAGTATCCAATCGGATCAAATGGCGTATCAACCCATATGGGTCATCGGAAACCATGGGAATGCAGCTCCTGACGCTGCTCCACCGCCTTGCGGATTAGACTCCAAGTCAAAGGCTCGGGGGTCGGTCCCTTAATAAAACCATCTGCTTCGGTCTGGGCGGCCGGACAGTATCTCAGCCCTCACACAATGAATTGAATTGAATAAAGCAACAAACAATCAATGAAACTTATCGCGTACTATTACACGTGTTGCAATTCCCTTCTTCCCTTCCCGATGATAGTTAACGAATACTATTTGAACTTGTCAAGCATGACTGTTTTCCTTCCAGATGAAGTTCTTTATCCGTTGAAATAACAGTCATGAATTTTTCATGTACGGAGGTCATTTTGGTTTGACCACCACGACTAGCTGTTTTCCAACCCTATGGTATGTCAAGCAACGTTGCTCTCTGAGGAAGGCGATGGCTAGGGGGCATGTGTGACATGTGTCACACATGTCCTAACTGTCTCGGTCGATACAGCTGCTTCAATTTTCCGCCTTACCCAACACACTCGACGCCTAACTATCTCAATATAGCAAAAATATTCATTCAGACATCTATAAAACACAAAATAATCGAGCGAAGAATATTCTTTTTGATAAATTCCTCTTCCGGTTCCACAATTATATATATGTTTATACACGCAGAATATTCTAGATTAGTAGTTAATAACAATATTAGTGGTTTTTTTAAAAATAGATATCCATGTTTATATGCATAGAATATTCTAGAATTGTCGTCAATAACAATATTAGTGTGCTTTTTATATAATATCGATTTGTAAAGTAAGATCACAATGGAATTACAGTCCACTAAAGATGCATAAATTATGATAATAATAATAATAATAATAATAATAATAAAGATATAGTAGCAAATAGAATATCAACTAAAATTAGGAAAATTCCACAAAACTTCGGGATCATTCAAACCTGGATGGCCAAGGTAATGATAATGTCCGAACTAACTCCTTTCGCATACACAAATTAGGCCTGTTAATATGGATCCCAACAGCCAGCCTCAGCAATATTTAGTAGTCGAACTCTTAAGGCAAAATTGAGATTAGTAGGTATGCGGTAAATGACCCTGAAAGCATGGCTTACGTCAATCTTGTGTTTTGTCTCCACAAGATCAGAATAGCACTGCGAATAGATTTTGTTTGGTCTTTGCTTAACCACGCAGGGTGATGTTCGGAAATTCGACGAGAAACACGCCTAATTGTGCGGCCTATGTAATTGGCTCCACAGGAGCAGTTAAATTGGTAGATACACATGAAAGAGGCGAAATTATGCAGTTTGTCTTTTATTCCCGAATGCAAAAGAGGGATGGTTTTAAAGATACAGCGTAATTCAGCAGCAGGGAATGCTTTTTGCACCGCATTTCTAAGGCACTGTGTTAGTATCTCGCTGGTATTGTCTCCGAAGAACTGCATCTGTAAGAATAAGGCCTTTTTTGGAACTGTTGGTAACTTGGGCTGCTTCGGTTTCGGATTCATATTCTTATCAATGAACTTTTCAGGATAAGCATTTTCACGTAGCAACCGTTTAATATTGTTTAGTTCCTCGTCAAGACATTCGTCCGAGCAAATCTCTCTTGCTCTGTGGACCAAGCACTTTATTAGATTGCGTTTGTATTTCAAGGGCAAAAAGCTGAGAAAATGTGTGTACTGGCCCCTTGATGTAGGTTCTCTATAAACAATTTGGGTCATAAGGATGTCTAAAAATGAAATACTAGAGTCTTTTTCTTTCTCAGTAGTAAAATTTATTGCTGTATGTACCTCATTAAATTTATCCAGGATGTTCTTTGCTACCTTCTCGTTTTTCATAATCAAAAAGTATCATCCATGTACTGACAATAAAATTCGAGTTCATTAATAACATCCTCCAAAGGCCCATTTACTAGTTTCTCAAGGAAAATGTCGGCTAGAATGGGTCCTAGTGGTGACCCCATTGCCACACCGTCGATTTGTCTATATAGTTCCTTATTAAGCAAAATGGGGACATTCTATTGTACATTTCAAGGGAAGCTCTTTCATAATGCCAAAAGCGATGTTTCGTCTTTTGAGTCCTTCGCATACAAAGTCCACTGTTTCCATAAGTGGCACACTGGTGAATAAGGAAGATACGTCAAATGATATTGTGAATTTATTATCAACATTTAAATCTTTTATCCTTTCAACAAATCCAAAAGTATCCTTTACACTGTGTTTCACCAACTCGGTATGAAGAGGCTGTAAGAGTTCGACTAACCATTTGGTTACAGGATGGTATGGTGAATTTAGCCTATCTAATACTGGTCGCAGCGGTAAACCATTTTTGTGCACTTTAGGCGAGCCATATAGTCTTGGTGTAAAGGTTCTAGTGGGTTTAATTGATGTGTACTGACTCTGTAAAATGAATTCCATTGATCATACTTTACAAATCGATATTATTCAAAAAAACCCACTAATATTGTTACTAACTACTAATCTAGAATATTCTATGTATATAAATATGCATATGTAATTGTAGAGCCAGAAGAGGAATTTATCGAAAAAGAGAAAAGAATATTCTTTGCTCGATTATTTTGTGTTTTGTAGATATTGCATGGAGGATTTCTGATATGTATCCACATATATATATTTATGTGTGTGTTCATGTTGGTCTCTCTTTCTGTTTGCTCGGTTAGTCTGTGACCACTTCACTTGTATGAACTTGTCTCCTTTAATAATGTGTATTCTCCTTATATTATATTATATATAATATGAGTGTTGACAGTCCGTTGCTTGGTGACATATATCCATATATGTTTGTTGGCATGTCTGCTATATTCGCTATGTATAATTGGATCGACACTCCATTATAATTAGCCATTCATGTTAAGACTGTCTAATGATTTTTTCCCACGCTTGTCTGATATATATTCGCATTCACAATTTGTGTGAACTACTTTACTTTACAACTACTTGACTTGCTTACCACTTTGGTGTGAGACCATTTATTTTCGTCTCCTTGTTTTTAGACAATAGAAGTATCATCGCAAACCTAGTGGTCTTCTGATTTCCGCCTTCTCGCGTCAGGACTATTAGTTTCTCGACCAGTCCATAACAATAAATTTAGCGACGAGTACATAACAATTTGGCGACGGGGAAAACTAGAACATAACAATTTGGCGACGGGGAAAACTAGTACATAACAATTTGGCGACGGGGATGGGATTAACAATCCGATAAGATTTACTCGAAGAAGGTTCATCTGAAGGATGAGCTGTATCACAATGATCCCGAAGATCAATCCCTGTAGCACACGTGAATGGGCATAATGGACACAAGTACAGATGATCAGTCTGATGAAGTCTATTGTCGGCACGACGCTGTTCTTCCCGAGCGGTAGGAGCTACAACTGTACGACCAGCAGTTGGTGTAGGTTTCACAGTAGATCTCGTTGTAACAGCTGGAACAGGATTAACAATCCGATAAGATTTACTCGAAGAAGGTTCATCTGAAGGATGAGCTGTATCACAATGATCCCGAAGATCAATCCCTGTAGCACACGTGAATGGGCATAATGGACACAAGTACAGATGATCAGTCTGATGAAGTCTATTGTCGGCACGACGCTGTTCTTCCCGAGCGGTAGGAGCTACAACTGTACGACCAGCAGTTGGTGTAGGTTTCACAGTAGATCTCGTTGTAACAGCTGGAACAGGATTAACAATCCGATAAGATTTACTCGAAGAAGGTTCATCTGAAGGATGAGCTGTATCACAATGATCCCGAAGATCAATCCCTGTAGCACACGTGAATGGGCATAATGGACACAAGTACAGATGATCAGTCTGAGCCATATGCATATCTAAATGAGCAACTGTAATGAAATGGGAACTGCACATGCAACATTTCACGTATGGATTTTCAATCGATTCGTAGTGAACAGTTATATTGTTAGGTAATGTACATGAAGGGGATGAGACAGATCGCGAAAACAGCCTAGACTCCAATGATGACAGATATGCCACTTTTTCTTTAACCTTCGTAGTACCATCGTCTCTCTTAATCAGAACTTCACTCTTTTGTGCTGAATGGTTGCCCAAGCCAAACAACACTTATCAATGAACCGACATGAACACCTCCGAGAAGCTCTGATATTCGTGCATTACGAAAGAGCAAAAATCTCACATCCACTCCTGACCCACCTTCTTCTAATGTTCCGCGGAAATCTACAGATACTCGTCCAACTTCACAAAATACGACAAAGAAGACCCCTCCATCACCATGCTGGCACTGTGGCGCGTGGCACTTTGTAAAGTCTTGCCCATACAAAAATCATCGTTGCAGCAAGTGCAAAATCATCGGTCATAAAAATGGTTTTTGTCAGTCACGCAAACCCAGATATCATAATCCAGCGAAAACTCGACAAACTGTTGGTCCTAAATCTCCAAGGAGATCATTGAGTCTACGCGCAACCCGTCAAGTCACAACACCACGTATGCGGAAATATCTTGATCTTCAGATGAACGGTCATGATGCACGTCTGCAGCTAGATACCGCCTCTGATATTACTGTTATATCAGAGAAACTTTGGAATAATATTGGCAGACCACCTATCACCAATACTTCCCAGTCTCTTCTCAGCGCCTGTGGTGGGCGGCTCAAACTAATTGGTGAACTCAAATGTTCTGTTTCCTTCCGCAATACCAAATTCACAGGAATTTGTAACGTCACGAAGAATGATTTAAATGTTTTGGGGCTTGATTGGTTCGATCGTTTGCATCTGGCTGATGTCCCACTAAATTCGCTATGCAATGCAGCCAAGAAGCATAAAATGTTAGACAATTCCGGACGGAGCCGAAGCCGCAAACCCAACAGTCAGACGAAACGACAGGCGTCAACAACAAGCCCAAAGGTCCCAGATAAACCCCCAGGTAAACATCCTACTAATCATCCATCTTCTCAAAAGGGGAGGTGATATGTATCCACATATATATATTTATGTGTGTGTGCATGTTGGTCTCTCTTTCTGTTTGCTCGGTTAGTCTGTGACCACTTCACTTGTATGAACTTGTCTCCTTTAATAATGTGTATTCTCCTTATATTATATTATATATAATATGAGTGTTTGTTGACAGTCCGTTGCTTGGTGACATATATCCATATATGTTTGTTGGCATGTCTGCTATATTCGCTATGTATAATTGGATCGACACTCCATTATAATTAGCCATTCATGTTAAGACTGTCTAATGATTTTTCCCACGCTTGTCTGAATTATTGTATATATTCGCATTCACAATTTGTGTGAACTACTTTACTTTACAACTACTTGACTTGCTTACCACTTTGGTGTGAGACCATTTATTTTCGTCTCCTTGTTTTTAGACAATAGAAGTATCATCGCAAACCTAGTGGTCTTCTGATTTCCGCCTTCTCGCGTCAGGACTATTAGTTTCTCGACCAGTCCATAACAATAAATTTAGCGACGAGTACATAACAATTTGGCGACGGGGAAAACTAGAACATAACAATTTGGCGACGGGGAAAACTAGTACATAACAATTTCACCATGAGCTGACATCAGTTAGAGAACCATTGGAAAACGTGCCAGGGAGTACTGGACAGCCGTGTCGTTTTAGTTTGGGACTCTTCATCGGTACGCACCCACCACAACGGTAAGAACCCAGGACCTTCTGGTTACAAGGCGAGCTCGTAGACCATTGAGCCACTGGGACCCGATCCAGCGGTCCTTGAATTCTAACTTCTGCCAATTCACGATATAGTGCGACCACTTCGCCATTATCTTCTTCGATGAGTTACTGCCTCATCTTCAACCTTCTCTACCCTACTGGTCACGGCCTCCTACTAGAACCCCAGGTTAACTACTTGAATAGGGCCAGTCACTAGTAAGCATTAGATTAATTTTCAAGTATTGGTTGTTTTGTAGGGATTTTGTTTGATTGTATGGAGGATTTCACCATGAGCTGACATTAGATATCTCAATATTACTCACTCTACTATATCTTCTCACCTATCATGCGAGATAGAACGCAAACACGCATATGATCGAAGACAGCTAGCCAGCCTTTTCATGTCTGCCAGTTTCAGCAGCTACGCCTCACAACTATGCAGTACACAGGTGTTATCTAGAATTTCAATGATGATTACCCAGGCAAACTTTCTCTCTAGGTTAACAGAATTACATCATTGTCAACCGCCTGAGCTGCCTATCTCCTGCCTTATTGTTGTAGAGTTCACATTATTTTTTAGCCAGTCGCTTTCCTTCACTCTAAATGGCTTCATTTGCTGAATCTTTCTCTTCGAATTTGAATTTTTTAGATTTTGCCTCTAAAATGAATGATCTTCAATATGAAGTTAGTTTAATTTCACCACTTCATATAGCTTATCATATAGATTATTGTTCAAGAAGTTGTTCAAAGTGAATTAAGACAGACAGTCTCCTCTCAGGTGAGAGTCGTGTAGTGATTATCGTTATTATTATGTATTATTGTGTTGCATTATGGAGAAAATTTTATATTGATAAAGTCTCACAGAGTGTTATACAGTAATATTTATTACTGCTCATAATCATATCAAGGTACTCACACAACTTTCCTACCTCATTCATATAATTCCATTGTTTCTCACCTCGTGATTTGATTGCTAGCAATATCTTTTCCACGCAAAGTTCAACAAAAGTGTCCCATCTTTTGTTATTTCTCAACTGGTTACAACCTGAACGTTAAAAAAAATATGAACATACTTTTCCACGATCACAAGGAGTAATTGGTTGGTAGGAAGTAAAAGTAACATTTGTCCGGAATGATTTAACTGATTAGGAGTTACAAACACTGACTATTTATAGAATAATTAGACAAGTAGGCTTGGAAACAACAAAAAAAGCAGAGTTGCGTATAGAAACAAGGTTAAGCTAGAAAGAGCAAAACAGAAAAGTAGATTACGTAACTAAAGAAAACATCTTATCCAATAGCCAATAGAAAAAAGGAAAGTAAAGAAACACGGTAGGTTGAGTCATGTTTAGATGAGAGAGTAGAGTTTTCTAAACATGAAAAAGGTGACTCATGAAAGTTGTATATTTTTTTTGTTATCATTAGGGCAGTGCAAGATTCACCACTGTCTCTTTCTGTGTACATAGATTTGGTTTAAGTCGTTTGATGGCAGTTGCTTCAGCAAAGTGTAGCAAGCTAGGTTTCTTTTGCTTGTTGATTATTTTGAACGAGTTCAGGTTGGCTACAATATGACCAGTGTCCAATAGATGACGAGCAATCACACTGTTTAATGCTTGCGGGCCTTTCAGTCTCAGGTTCTTTGGTATGTGTTCATAAATGCGGACACTAACCCTTCTCTCTTTCTTCCAATGTATGTACTTTGACGCGCACATGTAAACTGGTAAACACAGTTGGAGTTAACATGAGGTGGGTATTTGTCCACTTTTGATTGTCTCAAACAACTACTTGTTTGATAAACACATACAAGCTTGGCGGCTGGATATGTTGTCTTCAGGGCAGCGTTCATTCTGCATCTTATTCTATAAATAGTCAGTGTTTGTAACTCCTAATCAGTTAAATCATTCCGGACTAATGTTACTTTTACTTCCTACCAACGAATTACTCCTTATGATTGTGGAAAAGTATGTTCAAATCTTTAATGTAATTCATATTTTTTATCGTTCAAGTTGTAACCAATTGAGAAGAATCCTCGAAATAATAATAAAAGATGAGCTCATATTATCCTGGTACAATTGTTGTTCTTGCTTTGTTCAAGTTTATTAATGGGAAGAATTGTATGAAGTTTTTAAAAGCCTCCCAAGAGTGCGAGCGCATGATTAACCTTCAGCTGACCTTCCTCATAAAAATGAGGAATGTTTGCTCAAAAATTGATGTTTATATTGACAAGAAAATGCTTGAAAACTCACTAATCAGGTTATCTTTCTCTGGCATGACTTAAAAAAAATGCATCCTAGTTATATCGAGGAGTATCAGTTGCTAAGTTAGACAAGTTTCTGTACATGTACTCACCAAGATGACTACAGATAAACGGTTTTTGTGAATCATTTGTCTCTCTCATCCTGCTTGCAGTCTTCCAAAAAAGTCATCGGTTGAATTATTTATGGTTTCCAGGAAGAGGGTAGACGACCGCTTACCAGGAAAGCGCGGATAATAAAACAAATTAAAATAAATGACATCAGCTATAAATCTATCCTTAATCGTAACCGTAAGCTTAATCCTGATCCTAACACTAACCCTAACCTTAATCCTTACCCTAATCATAACCAGGATTCAAACCGTAATTCTAACCCTAATGCTAATTATAACCGCGATCCTAACCCTAACCCGATACTTATGTTAACCCTAATCCTAACCTTAACGAGCTATTAACACATTGTCCAAACAGTACTTAAAAACGTGATCAGGGTGAAATTTGCTCCTAAGCTGATGAATAGTGTTGATATTTCAGCTATGATAATGACAGATGCCGTTAGCCAACGATTAGCATACGTTCAAGGTCATTGGAGCGTTCACACTCCTGGAACGCTATTGTTGAACTTCGCCCTTTACCATATCTCTGGTATTAGTGATAAGTCATTTCTGATGCATGTTTTGGGTGTAGACTTGATGAATCAGGATTCAGTACTCAGTCTCTCTCTCTCTCTCTCCACTTACCTTGATTACTTTTTAGAATTTTAACTCTTTTTCACCCTATTGTGCGGTTGTGTGTTAATGCCATGCAGTGCAATGTAGTAGTGAGCTTTTTTCTAAATTACTTATCGTCGCGGAGTCAATCATTGTACACTTAACTAAATTAATATATTCTGATAATCGAAATACCTGCGGTCTACTGGTTTGACCTATGTAGTTGACCTCCCTCACAGTCATTGCAGGGTATTTTGTAAATTATATTATTTTGTCTAATTCAGTCAACCTACAGGGTCCTTCAACCTACAGAGCTTGTCCTATCTGAGTGAGTTCACAGGTTTGAGTGCCGCCCTAATTCCGGCTTTATTAAGAATCCTACGTAGGATCTTACATGTCCCCTTCCTTATGTGGTAAAACTGTAGACAGCTTGCATTCTTTCTTATATATGTTATCATTACTAGTTTCACCATTATTTTTCTTTTGCTTTTGGCCTTTATTGATCTTCCTAATGAATTTTATAGGATAGTTGGTTATTTAACACCGACGCCTCTTCTTCTATCTGTTTTATTTCATCATTTAGGTTTTACGTTGTACCACTTAGTGTAGTTATTGTTCAGTTTATTAGACACTTATAAGGAAGTCTGCCTTTGTTATTTTATTAGATGGTTGGAGGCAATCGCTAAGAGGAAGCCTTGCTTGATCTAGGTTTCGTGCTAATTGTCACTCACTAGTCAGTAGGGCCTGTCTGCAATCTTGAAGGCACTCATGTCGTTTCTGAGATTGGAACCCCGATTGCCTTCAACCATCTCATATCATCGAATCAATGTACACTGTGATGGTGAGCCACCTGGTGGTGTATAGTGGCCACATTGCAAACTTGACCCACGAAAGAATTCAGTCTACACCCATCGCAAAGGACTAGACATTATTAAACTAGTTACTGACTTAGTGTCCAATCAAAAATAAGCCAGCCTTTACAGATAGATAACGATGGATGAGATGAATTAAAGTCTAAATATCTATTAGTAGAAATGTATTGGCATTTTATAAACGATAGTGTGTACAGTTTACCTTGTTCTCTTCGTCTATTGCTTCTGCACACACCCAACCATCTAATAACAACAAAGGCAGGCTTAGTTATAAGTGTCTAAATAAGCTGAACAATAACAACACTAAGTGGTACAACATAAAGCCTAAATGATGAAATAAAACAGATAGAGGAAGAGTCACTGTCAAATAACTATCCAATAAAATTTATTCAGATCAGAAAACGTCAAAAGCAAAATGAAAATAATGCGGAAACTAATTATCATAACATAAATAAGAAAGCATGCAAACTTGGCACCAGTCAATGAAATCCATAACAGTTGGTCTAAGCCACGTAGGAAGGTGTAGACTTCCAGGTTGGGGTCCTCGGGGCGGTAAAAATCTATGGTTGGAAACAATTGGTGACATGGCTCAAAATCGTTCTCAGTGATAGCGCAGATGCATCCACTCCTTGTGACTTATGATCTCCAATGAAACTGTTTTGTTTTTCTTTATTACTCCTTTGTCTCACACCTCTGCTCACTGTTTCCATTATGCTTTTCTTGTACTTTCTTCTCTTGCTTCGCGTGCTACACGGAGGGAGTGTGGCGACTTGAACTTCCGCACATTTGTGCAAAGTTCTATGTCGTAAACAGACAGACATGCAAGCTGTCTACAGTTTTACCACATAAGGAGTGGACATGTGAGATCCTACATAGGATTCTTAATAAAGCAGGAATTAGGGTGGCATTCAAACCTGAAAACTCACTCAAATAGGACAAGCTCTGTAGGTTGAATGACCCTGTAGGTTGACTGAATTAGACAAAATAATATAATTTACAAAATACCCTGCAATGACTGTGAGGGAGGTCAACTACATAGGTCAAACTAGTAGATCGGGGGTAGTCGGATTATCAGAACATAAGAATTTAGCTAAGTGTAGAATGATTGACCCCGAGAAGATAAATAATGTAGAAAAACAAACTCAGCAATTGCACACTACCACACAATAGGGTGGGAGAGGGTTCAAATTCTAAAAGGTAATCTAGGTAGGTGGAGAGCGAGAGAGATTGATTACTGAATCCTGCCTGGTTCATCGCGTCTACACCCAACATATGCAATAGGCATGATTCATCACTAATACCACAGATATGGAAAAGGTATTACTAGCAATCAAATCAAGGGGGGAGAAACAATGGAATTATACAAATGAAGTTGGAAAGTTGTGTGTTTAGTGTCTTGATATGATTATGAGCAGTAATAAATTGTGCACGAAATGTGTGGTTATCAGTAAATATTACTGTATACCAACACTGTGAGGCTTTATCAAAGTAAAATTTTCTCTATAACACATTGTCCAATTTTTCATTCTTTTATTATTATGTTATCTAGCCTATATATGAACGTTTTGGTGGTAATATATTTCTTCCCGCCTCTCGTACAAAACTTTTAATGGCCTGCGAAGGTAGGTATAGAAAATAAAACAACAACAAGCTTTGAAATGCTTTTCTTTATTTATTTAGAAAAACTTAAAAAACTACGTGATCAATCGTTAAAATTGAAAGCTGATAAGAGTTGAATTATCTTTGTTGTTTTTTCCTACAATTTCTTGATAACTAACCTGTACAGTTTAATATTGTTTTAGAAAAAAAAATGTCTTACTACTTATATAAAAACAAAAGTATGTAAAGTACAAATAAAAATGATTTGAAATATGTTTATTTTATATTTTCAGTTGTACTAATAATTGGTATTTGTAGAGTAACCTGTTTGTGGCTGTGAGTGAGACACATGGTCATTGAAAGGATGGAAGACATATGAAAAGGTCGGCTAGCTGTCTTTGGTCAAAAAGGTGCCTGCGTTCTATCTCCTGTGTGTGTTTTGGGTGGGTAGGCTGAGTAATATTGAGGTGGTTAGGCGTCGAGTGTGTTTGTTAAGGAGGAAAGCTACATTGATTGAGGGAGATGTCACATTCGATTCCGTTGACTGAGAGGTACTATGGCGATGTTTGGCTGTGAAAGGAATGCCTAGACAAAATACATCACAATGATAAAGGTATTCTCTATTCGAATTCATGTGGTCAGTCAGGTGAGAGCGTACGGAGAGTTGTCATCTGAAGTGGTGACAACCAGTGGTGTCCATCATGAATGCTCATTGTCCCCATTAATTTCATCATTGATGTACTAAGAGACTTGACCGTAACTGCTGACTTCAGCGATTCAGGGAATAGTTTTGTAGACTTGAAATATGTGAAGATGTTATAGTTCTTCTAGGTGGAGACGCTGACAAAGTGCGGAGTATTCTAAACACCTTGAAGAGCAGCAGTATTCAAATGTTTGATGTGCGATTTGTTCCCGTCGAATGTACGACGGTGCTACAGGACTGCACTATATCGACTCAGCTTAGAAATAGGGAGTAAAGTGGTAGAGCACGTTGAGTACTTCACTTATTCGGGAAGTTGTATCAGCCCCAGTGGGTTGATCACTGACGAAATCTTAGCATGGATATAGAAGGCTCTTCCGGCATTTGCCAACTGAAGCCATTTCTGGCATAGTAGACTTGATTTTCCGCTGGCTATTGACCAGAGGGCATGTGTACTGCTCAGCGTTTCGGTGAGTGGGATATGGCCATTAAAAGTGGGATATATGAAAAGGCCGCCTAGTTGTCTTTGGTCATACGTTTTTGCGTTGTATCTCCCGTGCCAGGTGGTACAAAAAGGTGAGCAATATTGAGGATAGGCGTTGAATGCTAGGTAGGTAGGAAGGGTAATCAATCAAAGATGCTGCGAAGTTACAGCGATTGACATGGTTAGGACTTGTCTTACGCATGCCCACCATTCATCACCTTCCTCGACGAGCGAGGTTAGGTGACACAGGATCTATCAGGTTGGAAAAGAGCTAGTGTGGTAGTCAAACCAAAAGATGGCTTCATCAGTCAATGAAATCCACAACAGTTAGTTTAAGCCAACCATGTTTACAGGTGTAGACCTCCTGGTTGGGGTATTCCGGATGGTAAAAACCAATGAAGGCTGCAGACAATTCGTGATATGGCTGAAAATCGTTCTCAACGACTGGAACAGTTTCATTCACCCTCTATGATTTATAATATCCAGTAAACCGTCATGTTTTGGAATGTTAATATTCTTTTTTCTTCTTCACATTTCTGCTGATTATCGTCCTTCCGAATCTTTTGTCTTCCATTGCGTGGTACATGGAATGTGGCAAGTTGAACTGGTACACTTCTATGCAACATTTCTTTGTTAAAACCAGTCATTGAGTCAGTTAACGTGCTTATTTGTAACTTTACACTACAGGGTGTTAAGAATTAGGAATGTATGTAACCAATCAATCAGTCAGTTCTTATTGCTTGTGTGTATTCATGATCAAGTTGTCGTGTTTCTTTTGCAAGGTACTTAGTCATCTAGTGATTAAGTTCACTGAAATTTGTATAGAATTACACCTCATCTGTCTGCATGCCCTGTGGCGAGTCCGAATTTTTCTCTGTGCCTTACTTGTAGGGAGGGATTCCGTTCTATTTCAAGTTTGACGACGCATGGATCGATTGATGTCAGTTAGAGAACCACTGAAGAAACCAATAGGGAATACTGCCTAGACAGCTGTTTCATCCTGATTTGGGGGACTCGTCGGAGGAATGTACCCACTTGGGTTTAAACCCCAGTTCTCTAACTTGCATCAATCCGTCATCAAACTTGGAACAAGTCAAACCCTCCACCCCCCAAGAAATTAATTCTTGAAAATGAATCTGATCCTAACTAGTCACTGGAAACAGAACGAAGTTGACCGGAGTGAGGTCTGTAGTGAGAAGGCGTGACTAATGGGGTGAGGAGTGACGACAGAAACTCGGCGATGACATTGCCTGGTGTCAGTAGCGCTAAGATCACGAATTGGTAGAAGTTAGAATTCATGCTTCGGGCATTGGGTCCCAGTGACTGTGAATAGTCTGCGAGCACTCGCCTTGTAACCAACAAGAAGCTCGTGGGTTTAATCTCTGGTGGGTGGGTGAGTACTTCCGATGACTCCCAAACTAGGATGAAACAGCTGTGTGCAGTACTCCTTAGTTAGTTTCCAATATTTCTTTAACTCATGTCATTCCACGATCAAACTATGAGATAGTTTTTGTTAATATGTAACCACATCATTTGTAAATGGCTGCAATGATCTTTGATTACAGTAATTGTCAGTCATTAAGTCCAAGGCTTTGAACTACACACCGTACCTACCTTTCCGAGTAGTGGTTTACTGTTGAAAACTGTAAAGTTAGTTGTCACTTGTGACATTTGATGGTCGGACTCCTAGCTGAAATTCTACTTCTATGTGCAAAAACCCGAATACATCATGAGAAGCTCTCGTGTCTTATACAGTAGCTAAATAACCTGGGACAGGTATATATTCGTATTCGATGGGCGTTACAGTTGCATTGTTTAGGAATATATTTGCAAACCTGTTACCACTGCCCACGTGTTAAGTACTCATGGGAATCTCTTGATGTTGTGTGCTATTCGAATACTAAGCTAACTGATACGATGCATTACAGAATTTCATCATGAGCTGACGTTAGTTAGAGAACCGTTGGAAAGTCTGCTGGGAGTACTGGACAGCTGCCTCGTCAGCCTAGTTTGGGAATCCTCAGCAGTACACACTCGCTAGGATTCAAACCCAGGACCTTCTGGTTACAAGGCGAGTTCGTTTACCATCCGATCCAATGGTACATGCATTCCAATTTCGGTTTCTGGTTAGTTAATTAGGTGGTAGCACATAAGTAGAGAGTTCCACGTATGTATTGACACTCACGAGTACGCGGTAGTTGGAGCCTTCTGAGGTGCAAGCGTCAGATTTAATGGTAAACTTTTAGACATCAGAAATGAGAGACGGAGATCTGCGTCTTGAGAGCAACATATATTGCTTTGTCTTCCTTTATGGGGTATATTTATGCACTGTGGGAACTTGAACTGTTGTCTGTTTTCGACATAGAACTTTGCACATATGTACAGCAGTCCAAGTCGCCACACTCCCTCCATGTAGCACACAAAGCAACAGAAGAAATGCATAATAGAGACAGTAGACAGAGGTGTGAGACCAAGGAATAGTAATAACGAAGAAGAATATAGTTTCATTTGAAATCATAAGTCACAAGGAGTGGATGCATCTGCACCAGCCAGCCATTGAGAACAATTTTGAGCCATATCACCAATTGTTTCCAACCATAGGTCATTACCGTCCTGAGGACCCCAACCAGGAAGTCTACACCTTCCTATGTGGCTTAAACTAACTGTTATGGATTTCATTGACTAGTGACATGTTTTGGTTTGACCGCCGCTAGCTCTTTCCCAGCCTGACCCTATATCAGCTAACAATGCCCCGCGGTCGAGGAAGAGGATGACTAGGCATACCTAATACATATCCTAACCATCTTTCTCAGTCGATGTAGCTTCACAGCCTCGTCGATTGATTTCCCCTCCCACTTAACTAGCACTCGATCGATGCCTAACCTCAATATTGTTCACCTTATTGTACCACCTAAGTGATAGGATCCCACATATTTTGGTATTGACTGTTTAATCTTGCATATATGGTATGTTATCATTCTCACACATTTTGGTATTTACTGTTAATCTTGTATATATGGTATATTATCATTCTCACACATTTTGGTATTGACTGCTAATCTTGTATATATGGTGTATTATCATTCCCACACATTTTGCTATTGACTGTCAACCTCGCACATATGGTATATTATCATCTCTCACGCACTTTGTTATTGGCTATTAAGATAAATTATTTCAAATGCTGTTAGCTGTCCATATTGTTGTAAAATGTATAAATACCATGGCTTTCTTTGTCGTTGTTGCACTTCAATACACAGTCACAGTCCAGCCTTTGTCTTTTGATATTTGCGTGCTTTACTAAATCGGAAGGTACGACAAGCAGATAGGCAGATTAGTTCAGGCGCAGACAGAGCAAGGTGAAAACGTCTTCCTTCAATTCCCTACAGTTGTAACAAATTGGCGACGGGGTTTATCTTAATTCATTGCAGTTATAGCAAGCAAACGACGACAGTTTTTATTCTGTTCAGCGCATATATAGAACATTTTTGACTGTGTTAATTACAACCCAATTACAATGTCTATCTCTCTGGACGATCTCAAATCTATTTTGCAGCAGCAGCAGGTTCAGAATGAAGCAGTTCAACTAAAATTAATCGAAGCTCTCACTCAGAAGCTGTCCATTCAAGTTCCATCAACATCTCATTCTGACAAATATGAAAGCATCTCAAATTCCATCAGTGAGTTCAACTACGACCCAATATCTGGTCTCGTATTTGATGCATGGTTCAATCGTTACGGAGACGTCTTCCGTATTGAATGCTACATGTTTGATGATGCTGCCAAAGTCCGATTGTTACTAAGAAAACTTGGTACTGTTGAACACAATAGATGTGAATTTCTCCCGAAAGAAATCCGAAACGATAATCCAAACTATAGATTTAACCACACGTAGAGTGACGCGTAAAGTCCAAAATACAGGATATCCTGAAATACGGTACTTTATTACATAAAAATAGATATATAATATACAAACCTCAAAATGTGAGGTGTCTGTGGCTAAATGCCGTCAAATGCACAACCACTGTGCAGTCAATAAGTAAAAACAGCAATGCTGTGTCAAGGTCGATCCACGCGTCGGTTCAAACGGCCCGCGAATGCCAAGCAAAGAATAAACAAATATGAACAAACAACTTTCAATAGTAAAGCATACACTATAGGGTAAATGCAGCAAATAATGTTTAAGGAGAAGAAAAATAAGAACTATACATTAATAGAATGATAATAGAACAAGTAATTTAACTGCAGTTGTAAGCAAATGTCATCTTTATAAATTAACATATAAAATCATACTACTTACTAATGGCAAGTAGTATAATGTTGAACAAAGGAAAGATTGAGAATGAACAAGTAGGAAAGGAATTAACACCGCCCCCTCAAAACCAGCCTGGTTTTCCCTACTCTACCTGCTAGTAAGACACAGAAATGGTACAATTTACTCTCGCCACATCTGCATCCACTATCCAGCTATATATCCTACAAAGTGCTTATCTCTCCTTAATACCTTCTAATAGGCAAACCTTACGCACATCTCGGTTGACTATACCCCTCGGTGTCTTGATATCCACTTTTCTGATATACCCATCACAGCTTGCCGTAACACCTGTAATTATTCCCATTGACCAACGATTGTGAGGTGAAGGCTCCGCAGCCACTAGTACTAGGTCTCCCACTTGTAAGTTTCGATGTCGTCGAACGCGATTGTAAGGTCGTCAAGTACTCCCGCTTCCACCGTCTCCAAAACGTATCAGCGAGGAGTTGCCCTTGTTTCCATCGTCTTGTGCCTCGTTTTAAAGCATAGGCTGCACAAAAAGGTGATGAGGTAGCACCGAAGGGATGTACGTTTAATTCATACAGGCTCGGTGGTAAGTCCAGTCTACCCTCAGAATACCATAAGAAACTAAAGGCACTTTTATCCTTGACAGGTAAGTGAACCTGAAGAAACATCTCCTCAATATCTGCTGACAAGGCTATCCGATGTTTTTTAAATCTCAATAGTACCCCAGCCAAGTCATTCATCAGATCAGGTCCCGAATACGGACAATCGTTCAAGGATATTCCCTTACATTTAAAGGCACAATCGAAAACCACTCTAATTTTACCAGGCTTGCGGGGATTCATAACTGGGTGGTGAGGGATAACTCTACGTTTCTTGGAGAAGTCGTCAGGAACGCGACTAATATAACCCTTCAACTCATGGTCTGTTAGTATTTGATTGTAGGACTTCAATAGGCTTTCGTCCTTTTTTAGTCTCTTCTGAAGACTGTCCAGCCTGCGTTCTGCCTCAAACTTATTAGGCGGTAATCTACGCCAGTCCTCTTTCCAAGTCAATGGAACT